TGTTTTTGTTTGTCATGAATGATAAAAAGACCCCCACTCCCGGTGGTTAGGGGTGAGCATTCGACCGAGTCAACTTGAGTTGAGTTAAAAAAATTGAGTTATTCTAGTTGCCGAGTCATATTTTATAACTCAAACTTAATTTTAAATTTTTCTGAGTCAAGTCTAGTTGTTCGAGTTTCTATACAAATTTAATTTTAATTATTTATAGTATTATAGTACGGGTTTATTCCAATTTTTTTGATTTTTTCTAATCATATAAGATATATTTATTCTTTCATACTCTTTTCACATCATAATGTTATTTAATATATCACATACAATCTAAAATTTATAAAATATATTTACAATATTATATTTTTAAAAAAATGTATTTTTTTAGGATAAAAGATTGATGAGAGTATAAAGGAGTCAACGAATTGATTTGAAGAAAGAATTTGTAAACAATTGTAGTCTTCTTGAGTAAAATGCAAAATTAAAGGACCAAATTAAAAAAGAGAGTACATTTTTAATTAAAAAAAAATAAGATTTAAAGTTACATACGTATTCTATAGTAGTAGGGGAGCATATGGTTTTAACTTGATAAAAACATACTTAAAAAGAATGATGAATCGAAGAAATACGGAAATCGTGTAAAATTAAGGGACTAAATTAAAATAATAGAATTTTTTTTATAAAAAATGAAATTGGAAGTACATGTGTATTCTGTGATAATTTAGGAGCATGTTGTTTAAATTTGGTAAAAAAACTGCTTAAAATGAATGAGCAATTGAAGGAATAGGAAATCAGGGACCAAATCGCAAATCTGTCAAAATATTTATCTAAATTTGTAGTTTTTCAAATTACTCGAAAATTTGAAATTTCAACTTGATTCGAATTTGAAAATCGAATTGATAATTCGAGTTGACTCGAATAATTCAAAATTTAAAAAAAAAAAACTAATTTTTAGAGTCGAGTCGAATTTTGCTCACCTATATTGATTGTTATCAAGCTACTTTTTTTCAACTCTCTTCTCGGAGAATCGTTGGTGATGACTTTATTAGAGATGTGAAATATTTCTTTTTTACTTCTTCTTTGTCAGTTATATTTAACTCTAACATCATTACTTTAGTCGCGAAGTTTATTGTCCCCTCATTCGCCTGATTTTATGCATATCTCTTGTTACACCACCGTTTATAAATGTGTCACAAAGATCCTTGTAAATAGAATGAAGTTATGGTTGCCGAACCTGATTTTACCAAATCAAAGTGTTTTTCTTGCGAGGAGATATTTGATGAAGAATGTGTTGCTAGTTCAGGATTTGTTTTGTGTAGATATGGTTACTTTGGATGAACAATACATCATTTATCCAACAAAAAAACAAAATTTTTAAAAAATATAAACAAATTATCAAAAAAATGTAAATTAAATATTTAAATTATATAAAAAATTAATTTTTTTAGAGACTACTTCTACTCTCTCTCATCTATCTGTGTTCCCAACTACTACAAAAACAAAGTTGATATGCAAATTGGAAACTACGTGACCAACTCAATCATCATGTATTGTGTATAAAATTTAGCGATATACAACAGAGACGTGTACGTACATATATATCTTGATGATATACTTCATGCATGAATAAAATATAGGATCTAGTACACGTTTAAATAAATCCATATCAGCTATGGCTTAGTAGGTGTCAGATAGGGCAAAAAGATTCCGGTTCCATGGAGGACATGCCAGAAGGAAGTGTCGATTGTCAAAGAGTTGGGAAACATTACGTAAACATGTTTTTATCACATGCGATGGTGCTGGGGAAATGGTTTGAAAATTATAGGTACCTTCGGTGTTTTCCATGTACGATAGGTATTTAAAATGGTCGGTGTTTCTTGGCCGTCGAGGGAGGTGCATCGAGACGACGACATTGCCTACAAATGTTGACATTTTGCTACATATGCACATGCACGTGCATTTTTATGTTTTTATTTTAGACATATGCTTTTGTATTTATACGTGTGGTCTGTGAACACTCGTGAAAAATGGAATTTGCTTAAATTTTGTATAATTTCGAATTAATTAAAATATTAAAACATATAAATTATAGTGTTGTAATATGATTATGATATTAATATACAGAGAATTAATTATACAGTGCTGCTGTAGGCAGCAAGTCAGATTATAAAAGAAAAGCATTTTTCAGAATTTAGATTTATTTATTTATTTTGCTGAAAAATTAAATGAGAATATAACAAATAGTAATGAGTTGTGCTTGCAGCTTTCTTAGGTTACAAAGAGAGTTTATTGTCACTTTCATGCCTTACGATGCCGTCTGCTACAAAACTTCCTTCACATTAAATATTTTCCTAAATTATTTTTTGAAAAAATAAAAAAGAAGTGTTTTTATTGTCAAAGTTAGGTTTGATGGAAAAATTACGGCATTCAATTATATATAAATAAATAAAGTTCCAGCTTTTCAATTAATAAAGTAAAAAATCGCAGTAAATGAACAAATTAAAGTATGTTTTTTTTCAAATTCATATACTAATTTAAAAAAATCTAAATACTAATTTAAAAAAAATGTAAGTTCAGATACCAATTTATAAGTATAATAATTCATAAATTGAGATTAAAATTATGAATTAGATTAAAAGAAATAAAATAATAATAAAACTTGCAGAAGACAGGAACCATAAGTAAGTGGGTTGAAAGCGGAAGTATAAAATTAATGTAATTATCGTATTTTTATACCTAATGTAGTTTTTAAACATAAAAATTAAATTCAATATGATTTTGTTACTAACTGTTGCTGTTGTTGAAATTTATGGTGTTGATGTGACATCTTACAGATAATTCATAATGCATGATGATGTAGCTAATGATGTAGTGGATTGAACAAGTTCGAGAGCGAAATAATTTTTTTTAAATCAAATGATTTATTTGATTTTTAAGAAATATTTTTTTAAATTTAAGTTTTAACTATACAAATATAAAAAAATAAATATAAAAAATACTAAAAAATAAAAATTAAATTATTGAAAATTTTAAAAAATATATAGATAAACTAGAATAATTGAAAATATCATTGTTAAATGATTCGTTCAATTTAAATATGAATTCTAATGTGAATTATATTTTATCTAGTAATATAATTATATTTTTATATTCATATATGTCAAGTCTAATGTGAGTTTATTTTATTTATTTTATAGAGACAAAATTTATATTCCTTGAAAATAAAAATAAAAATATTGAGGATAATAAAAAAAATCTAAAACACATGGAGTCCATATCCTGTTTGATTTTGTAGAGTTGTATCTATATAAATTGGCAAAGTACAACCTATTACTATTTTTAAATCAAGTTTAAGTGAATTTTATTTTCTTCTATCATGTTATATTCACTAAAATGTTTTTTTTAATTGTATAACTATTTTTTATATTTTTTAATTATATATTTTCATGGTAATTTATACATAAATTTTAATTTATAACTTTATAATTTTATTTTTATAAGACTTTATAATATGTATTTAATTCAAATTTATAAAAATTTAGTGAAATAGAATTAGAAATATATTCAAAGTATAAGATAATTAGAGGTAAATATATAAAATAAAATTTGTACAAGATGAACAAGTTCATGTTTATATAAATAAAAGTAAGATTAATTTTGAAGTAAAAAATAATAATATATTTTTTAATTTTTTTTTGTAATTTGATTTTTTTTTGGTATTTTTTATATTTAAATTTTTAAATTTTTTGTGTTTTAGAATTGAAATATTTTTCTAAGAAAATCAAATAATCAATTGAACTTTTAAAAAAATTAATTTAGTCATCCAACTTGACCAAAAAACTAATTTAATCTATTTATTACATCATCACTCACCTTAGATCATCACATCAATATTATAAAATATCACATTAATACTATAACGTCATTGATAAAAAAATGTTAATCAAAATATCATATTAAATTTATTTTTTAAATTTAAAGGTCATGTTAAATGAAAAGAAATGCGAAAGACTTACATACCCTTTTGCCTTTTATTTTTGTCGATTAAACATCGTTCTGCTTTTTAGGCATGCAATTGCAGGCAACGGCCACCTGTCTTCAACCTGCTGCTCTTGCTCTTTCTCTCTCGGTGTGTTGAAAATGGCAGGCCTACGCTAAGCTTTCTAATTGTACAAATCTCGTCTCACGTCTTTCACTGTTTAGTTCTCCAGAAAATCCCTCTCCCGCACAAAATTAATTCCACTATTCTAGAGCAGCACAAAGCATTTATATCTATTTACCACGCACTTGAATATTCAGTTTGACTTTACGTTGTTATAAAAGAAATCATTAAATTACAGTTTCCATAAAAAAAATCACATCGACAAAAAACATTCTTTCAGACTTAAACATGCAGGAGCATGTAAATCAAACAATTACCAAATTGTGAAAGAAAAGTGTTTGACAAACCCATGTTATAGGCGTTCGGAAGAAAAGAGGGGTCAAATGCAAAAGGTCCCACGTATTACCAGACTTCGTGGTTTTGGGGTCAGACCAGTAGAAGGGTCCCTCCCAGAAAGAGGACAAATGTCTCTCTATTGTATCCGACTTGGTGTATAAAATTAGTAGAACAGGTTTTCAAGATTGACTAAATTTTAACTTGGGAAGAGCAAGAAACGACAGCGCATCTTTCTCACCTTTTCATGTCATTCAAAATTTGAACCCTCCTTTAACTGCAAAAAAGCAAACCAGATGGCCCCATTTATTATATGCTTCCAACGCAGGAAGAAACCCCATTTTGCGTATAAAACAACGGATAAAAAGGAGTACGGGACTTGTCACTGATTCTTTCCAATTTTCCCGACTCAAAATACATACTATTAACTACTCTCTTTCTTTTTACTTTAACACGTCTCTCTTCACCCAAAAAGAAAACAAATTCATCTCCCATCGGCCGTCATCTTTCTACAAGCTGTACACTTTGTTATTCCAAGTTTTCATCACTTCCCTACTTTGAATCTCATATGTTCCCTAAATCTTCACCCCCCATGACAATGATAATGAAAAATAACACAAGGAACCCGCCGTAATCCTAATTTATGCCCCCCCCCTTTTGAATGTACTGGGGCTTGCAGCTTCCAATTTCCATATCATGATGAGGAAGCTAATCCTCAAAATTCAGCCATCGGCATTTCCTCTAAAGCCTGCTGCTGTCTATCTAGATCAATGACTCCCGCAAATTTACAATCACCAGCTTGTTGTTTAAGTCTACCCCTTTGGTGTCTTAGCTCTAAAATAGTAACACAGGCCTGCATGATTTTCCCAGTGGGAAGATCGAAGTAGCATGTTCAGACCAGACCGAGGCCAGACATTTTATTCTGATTTAGCCTTTTCATCATGCTACCCATCTTCAATGAAAATTCGTCCTATAAAATCCCGAAACCTCTTTGAGTAGAGCTTTGGACCAACAGCTGATATTGAAGAAGGATCGGCTTGTAGTGATTTATATGCATGCTCCAGCTTCTTGCTGATGTCATAGCCTTGTAAGATGTCAATGATGCCAAAGTATAAGACTACTTCATAAACTTCACCACTATGCGATAAGTGACCAACTCCGCCCTGCATATACTGATCGAAGTCGCTTCTTCTCGACAGTCTCTCTGCTCTAGCAGGCATGTTTGCTCCTAGCCTGATCAGTGGTTTCCTGGCAAAACAAGAAGACATAAAAATGTCAAGACTAGCATGCTCATTTCCTATCAAATTCCCTGAAATATCTTGTATGCAACATAATTTTTCACTAAGGTAATCAACCTAAAGTATGTCATACGGTGATGGATCAAAATCATTACATGAGAAAGAGACCTTAAAAAAGAATCACTAGTGATAAGTGTGGAATCTTCAGCCGCACTCTCCATCTCGTCCACTAAGTTCATGAATCATTTCTTAGAAACAAAATAATGGGCAACAGAAAATCAGGGAAACCCTTGGTTCTTATCTAGGGTCATAAAGGACCACAATTGCTACACGCCCCCACAAAAGAAATTGTTGTCTTCTGAATGATACCCACAAGATCACTCAGACAACACAATCAACCATTCCATGGAATATGATCCAATATCAGCAAATACCATCACAACATTAAGACCAAACCCAATATAAACTTTACACCCGTCAGTGACAAATCATACAAATTCAGAGTTGACCAAGAAATTTAAAATCTAAGCATCATTTTGGGGGGAGGGGGTTTCGCATAATTCTGCATCTATAATAAGGAAATAACTTGAACTATAAAAACTATTAAGACAGCAAAACATACCAGCCAGCTAAAATTCGATCCATGTCCTGTAACTCAGCTTGAAGAAATCGACAGCCACGCATAAACTTTTCATTTTGATATGAATCCTTTTTGCCTGAACAGGAAAAGCAGATTCAAATCCCTACTCTTATTTCAATAAAAAATATCCATTCAAGTTTCATATGAAATAGTACAGTTGCCTAATAGCTTACCTGTCCGCAAGAGAAAAGGTGATAACCCCATTTTATCACCTCTATTATCATCCCGAAAATGTATTCCAATAAGAAGACTGTAATCCATGATTCTCTCAGCCTCCAAGAACTCACAATCTCGATCAATTTGCCTGCCACCATTTGGTTATAGAATATTAGCAATACATACGAAGACAAAAGTGACGTAACAAGGTAAGAAGGGACACCGGGGCAAAAAATACAATATAGCTTACTTCATAAGCTCCTGGAACCAATTTTGCTGAAGGCGAAACACAAAATTAAGATCCAGGTCTTTTAGGGTTGTGGTTTCATCAATTTCCTCTTCTGGCTTATCAGTTGAGCGGCCATGGGAGGATCCTTTCAGGTCAAACCGTCTATGAATTCGATAGTCAGAGCAAAACATATTCCCCATCACGACAAACCGGGTCTGCCATAATTATCCCGCAAGTGAGATAATTTCAAATGATCTAAGCCTTATTTCACGATACTCTAAACCTCGAGTAAGAGAAAATCCACTTAAGTTTTATTTATTTGAAACACATACCTTCTGGCCACCTATAGGTTTGACACAATGCACTCCGAAGAATTTTGTCACAAGGGAATTTTCATATCGAGAAACATGTTGGTAGTAACTCGGAAGCATCCTTATAAATACCTGAGAAGGTTATTAAAATATTTAAATCAGTCTAAACATCCCTACCAGTAGAACATGTTAGGTAAACCAATAAAGTAAATTGGAACTTCAGAAGCAAACTATTTTCCAATTTCAAAGAATACAATTTGAGAGTTTAATGCATCAAGACACACAGCAACTTCCACATTAAGTCAAACGGGTTGGCAAACCTTGACTTCAGATTTCTTTACTGTCTTTATCATAAATCTGTCATCTTGAGTGAGGTAAAAGAAGCTTCCACTCTTCCCCGGAGAAGAAAGCTCCCTAAGGGCATCACTGCCACAAATAGCAAGCATGTAATCAGAAGGATCCACTTGGAATAGCTCCCTCAAATGTCTACAAAAAAACACAAAAGAAATCCAGTCACTATTATAGAAAAAAGAATCTGAGACAATTACAAAAGGCGAAAAACCATTCAAACATATCAAGGAATACATGTTTGCAGCCGGGTGATCTCATTCCCAGGCTTTATCCTCAAAATTTGCAGATAAACCACAACAAATCCTAAACAGAGAACATATGTTGAAGTAAATAAAAGCAAAGCAACGTACCTAAACACCAACGGACAATAATCTTTCCAACGGAACTCCAGAGATTGATGAGAAGGCGTGAGCTTTGATCCTTGAACTGGAAACCTCGTCCAGAACTTCTCCCTCGGGTCAAAATCACTCGGCTTCAAACCCCGCATAATCGAGGCATGTTTCCCAACAGAGTACCTACAACAACAAAAATTCACCACAAAAAATAAACCCCGGAATCCAAATATTGGAAACAAGTATTCAGTTGACCAAAAGTTTTCACCTGATACCCATTTGCAAGTTAAGCATTAAGTCGTAATTCTTGTGGCCTTTGGAAATAGTTTGTCCTGGCTTCTTAATTTCCCCACTGAAACAACAAGGATTCCTTCTAAATTGTCTAAACCCATCTCTGTAAATCATTGACGCTTCCACATTATCTAATATATCACAAGTAATATCCCCAGCTTCACCATCGCTTTCCCAAATGCAAATCCTCGGGAAATTCATGTTCCTTTCCCCTAAGCTACCTCTTCCATCTACGGATGATCTTTTCCTCGGCATAAGCACCAAACTCTCCCCTCCTTTCAGAGAATGCTCCTTCCCGTCGTTCCCGTGATAAAACGTCCCGTTTAGCTGTTGAGTTCTCTTCATGTTATCTTCGTTCCACGCTCCGATGTAACAACTTCCGTCCGGCCAACAGAAAACTCCGTTTCCATTGGGCATACCACTTTCCCATTGCCCGTCATAACGATTTCCGTTAGCCCAAATCAGAGTCCCACGACCAGAGATAACGCCGTTTTTCCATTCACCGACGTACTCGATCCCGTTACTCCAAACGTACCGACCGTGTCCGTCTTGCAGGTTTTTTCTCCATGACCCATCGTAGTAATCCCCATTTGCATAACGTTTAAGGCCATAGCCTTGTTTCTGATCGGAGCTCCACGACCCACAGTATGTGTCGCCGTCGGATCCGATGAACGTCCCGAATCCTTCCATCCGACCCGACTTGAAATCACCTTCAAAAGTGGCTCCAGAAGGCCAAGAGAACTTTCCTTTCCCGTTGGCTTTCCCACGACGCCACTCCCCCTCATACATGCACCCGTCCTTCCAGAGGTACTTTCCGGGTCCGTGTGGCTCGTTAGTTGAGAAGCTACCGATGTAAAGATCACCGTTAGGGAGGAATTTCTCGACGGCGGTACCAAAACCCGCGGTGACGAATGAAGTAGCAGTAGTCGTGGGAGTCACGCGCCGAGTAGCAGCTTGAGATCGGCTCCGGTGATTTTGAGCCGTAGGAGTCGTAACAGAAACAACCAGATGGTCCTTTTCGTCGTCGGATTTCTTCTTCTTGGTGTGTAGAACGACGTCACTCTGTTCATTAAACAATGCTCCGTCCATTTTTTCTTAGAACTCTCTTTTCTATTTTATACTTTTGATCTCTTTGTTGCCTCCTTAGCTACTGCATTCCCTAGTTCTAAACCACACCGGAAAATTAAGCATTTCCGGCGAATGGTATATAATCTTTTTCTTTCTATTGTTTCCCAACTTTCCCTTTTTTTTTTGGGTGCTTTTGTGTTTGGAGAAATAGGCGAGAATAGGGAATCCTACAAAACTCGAAGTAGGAAAAGGCAATTAAATCAAAGAAAGATAACAAGAGAGTGACAAATAAATAAAAAGAATCAAATGTAATTAGAAGAGAGGGAGAGTAAATAATTAAGGGTCGTGTTTGGTTTAAGTAATTTTAGATTATTAGGGGAATGGAATGTCATTTCTCGTTTGGTTGGTAAATTTTTTCAGTTTGATAATTTTTTATTCTCAATAGAAGTATTTTGGGGTATATTATCGGGAATGTGATTACCTCATTTCTTTAGGTATTGTTGAATTTCTGGAGTTTTAGAAATGTCATTAATTTTATTTTTCAAAAATATTCTTCTTTTGTCGTTGAATAAAAAAAATTCTACGAAGATTAAATTATAAATTTATCCTTGAACTATTTTAGATTTACAAAAAAATCTATAATTATAATTTTATATGAAGTTCAGATGTTAAAATAAAATTTTACTCTTTCATTAAACATATTTATCTTTTTAATTTTGTAAAAAAATTATATGAATTTTATGAATTTTAATTTTTTAAAAAATATATATAAATTAATTATAGTAAAATTATAGTAGAATTCAACTTGTTAAAAAATAAATATATAATAAAGATTATTTTGATAAAATATACATTCTAATAATTTTATTTCTTTAACCAAACATTTTAATTTTAAATTCCTACTAAATAAATCAAACACAAAATACAATATTTTCTATAATCTTATTCTCACTAATAATTTTATATTTTATAAAACAAATGAACTCTAAGGGAGGCGGCTTTCCCATAGGGAAACGTTGCTTTCTATGCTCAGTAATTGTAATGTTTTACTACCAGCTCGGCTCAGCTTCAGTGGCTACTTTCTTAATACCGATTATGCCCTTATTTTTGTGCGAAATATCGGGATTCCAACTCTTATTTCTTTTCTGTTTTCCATTTTTCCCTCCGGTTTTCTTTGTGACGTGACGGAATCGTCTAGGAATACGAAGGTATAAATGCGTCATTTTGTGGCTGTTCTGGCTTTATCCTTACTTTTCACCTTAATTACATTAACACCATTCCTTTCATTGCTCTTTTTTCCCAGGAAAGGGAGGGAGACTGAGAGAAGGGGGGGGGGGAGAGAGTGGCCCGTCCTCTCCTTTGATTTAGTCCCATATGGATTGCTAGTCCATTTTTTTTATTCTTTCATCTTTGATTTTAATTATATAAAAAAATAGGATTATTTGACCAAGAAACTTTTATTTACACCGTGCCATTAAATTATTTTCACTTCGCTCTTTAAACGAGATGTGACATTTTTACTAAAAATAATTTTTGCATGTTACTTTATGTAATTTTGTTCTATAATAAGTACTTTATTATTTAGCATTTGTTAAGAACTTTCTCCACGTTATATATAATTTCATGCTAGAATACGTTTCTAAGTTATATATAAATTTTATGCTAATTGTTTTACAATAATTTGGATATTAAACAAATTGTTGTATACCTAACCCAAAATGATGCATTTGGCTTTAACGTAGTCGAACAATAAATAATTAATATGTATAAGTTATTAAATGCATTTTTTTAAAATTGTAATAAATACAATTACATTAAAAACAATTATAATAACTTTATGTAGATTAATAAATTAATAAATCAAATATCAATAATTAAATTTAAAAAAAATTATAATTTAAAATAAGTATACAATTTAAATTATCACAATAAAAAATCATTATGATTTATAATCAATAATTATCCTATCTTTAAAGACACTCACATGGTGAGATTTAAATCCAATATAAATTCAGACTCAAATACATACATGATATTTACGTACGGTGAATTCAAACAATGGATCTTAAAGTACTCATAACTTGAATGAAATTAATCGAGTACGTCGCATATCATCATATATTTATTTTAAGTTGAGATGTGTTGTAATTGTAATTTTAATATATAAGATATAATAGTTCGTTATTTATATATGAAAAATATTATGGTAAATTATATGTTTAGTATATATAATATTAGTTTTATTTCATTTAGTACCTAAACTTTTATTTTTCTCAGAATCATATCTAATGTTTACTTTTTGTTTTATTTTAATATATTGTTGTTTAAAAATGGAACTGTTACACACGTGGCATTTTTTATAGGTAAATTATATCATTCATCACTTAACTATCTTCTCACTCTTATTTTAGTCACTAAAGTTTAAAAATTTTCAATTTAACCACCTAACTTTCAAATTACTCATATTTTAATCACTCTAATTTATTTTATTAATATTTTTTGTGACATTAATTTTTTTCCTTATTTTATTAATATATAATTAAAATAAAAAAAATTGAAAGTTAGAGTGATTAAATTAGGAGTAACTTGAAATTAAGTAATTAAATTAAAAAAAATAAACTTCAATGGCCAAAACAATAGTGAGAAGATAGTTGAATGATGAGTGATGTAATTTACCCATAAAAAAGTGTTGCAATTTACCCATAAAAAAGTGTCCCGTTGTAACAATTCCTTTAAGGTGTGTTTGGATCGGGGTATGTGGGATTCCCATGGGAATGAAATCCACATTCCCATGTTTGGTTGGTTGTGAATCTCATTCCCGATAATATTTTATTACCAATAATAGATTTTTTTGGGTATATTATCGGGAATGTCATTACCTCATTTTCCTTAGATATTGTTGGATTACCGACGTTTTGGACTAAAATGCCCTTAATTTTTTTTAAATATCATTCTTCTGTCATTGAATAATAAAAATTCTACGAATGTTAAATTACAAATTTATCTTTAAACTATTTTAGATTTACAAAAAAAATCTATAATTAAAATTTTATATGAAGTTCAAGGGTTAAAATAAAAATTTACTCTTTCATTAAATCTTTTTATATTTTTAATTTTGTAAAAAAATTATATAAATTTTTTGAATTTAATTTTTTTTAAAAGAAAATATATAAATATTTTACAACTTGTTAAAAAATAAATATATAATAAGGACAATTTGGTCAAGTATACATTTCAATAATCTTTTATTCTTTTAACCAAACAAGGTAATCTTACATTCCTGCTAATCCAACCAAACACAAAATACAACATTCTCAGTAATCTTATTCTATGGTAATCTTTTATTCCCATTGGTAATCTTACAACACAAATCTTACATTCCTAGGAAAGGTTTTAATGGTAAGGTGCCAAATCGAAATAAAAAGCAAAAGTTATGTATGATCTTAAAATAACTTAAAGTTTAGATACTAAACATGTTGTTCACCCAAAATAGTATACATGTAATAATATATTAAATTGAAATTAACTGAAAGTTTTAGTTAATTAGGAGTATTCAGACAAATGGAAAGGTGGTATAAAATGCTATTTGCAAATTGTTCTTCTGCGCGGTGTGTTCTATTTTTTGTGAAACAAATAAAAAGTAGTTTTAATGTTAAAATTAGTGGTGGTGGATAATTTGGTAATAAACTAAAACAAAATAATATCCAAGTACTTTGTGACTTAAATTAATAGATGTTTCTATTATTTCACTGTCTACATTTCTATAGGCAACATTGCAAGGAAATAGTATGATAATATAGATATAGAATTTGTCTACTAACTATAGTACAATAATAAATATTTTATTATTTAATAATTAATAAGGAGTGACGTTCTATTATTTATTTATTTTTAAATAATATGAGGTTTTATAATATAAGATTTGTTCAAAATTTTCTTGATAAGTCAATAATACATATACACCATGCATACATAATTACTTGAACACATGACCTTTAAAGATAATAATATTCCATTTTATTATTAAAATTATTTGACTAGTTTAACATTACTAGTAAAGTGGAAAAAGTTGACAAATTAAACATGCAAATATAATTTCAAAAAAAAATATTTTCTACCAACTAAATATAATGTAATTAGACTAAAATTTATCAATCGTGACGTCTTGGTTCACGGAATGTAAGATTACTTTTGGAATAACATTATTGGAACGTAACATTATTATGGGAATATTGTATGATCATGTTTGGTTTGTTTAGTATGAATGTAAGATTACAATATTTAGTTGGAGGAATATAAGGTTACTTGGATGCATATTTTACCAAATTATCCTTGTGATATTTTTTTAAAAGTTAAACTTTAATATTAATTTATAAATATTTGAATGAAAATTTATAAAAATATTTTAATCGTTATACTCTCTAATTTTTTAAAAGAAATTACATTTAATATATAATTAATATAATTAGTATATTAAATTTATATTTTAAAATAATGTTCATAAGTATCATATTTATTTATATATAATATAATATAATATAAAAAAGTAATATTATGATAGTAAAATATTATTTTAAATAATTACATTTTTACAATAATACTATTTTTTTCATCCCATAAAATTATAAATAGTAAAATATTGAATATTAAAAATATAAATATTTTAAATTCTCAAAATTATTAATATTTTAGTAAATCAAACTCTTTTTATATTATTATTATTTTTATAATTTTGAGTAAAGTATAAAAAATAAGAATTTAGAAGTATCATTATAAAAAGAATTCATTAGTCTAAGGGTATTCTTGTCCAAAGTGGTGGGAATGTAAGATTACCTAATAATTTAGAGATAAAGACATTCTCATCATTTTAACAAAAAAAAGTTACTATTGAAAAAATAATATTTCCGGTAATGTAATATTCCGTGAATTAAACGTGAGAATACAAGGTCAAAAAAAAAATTCTCACTGATAATGTAAGATTCCGCGAACTAAATGCACCTGTCCACATATTTATAAAATATAATAGTCAATTTTTTAAATTTTTTGAAGAAGTTCCATTAAAAACATGAAGTGGTTGCCTTTTTTTAGTTAACATAACTAGTTTAGAATAAGTCGTAAAATAACTAATTAACATAGTTACTTTGTTAT